ATATATATTATTTTGTTTATATTAATTATAAAGAGTGCAGTATATCAAATATTTATGTAAGACAAATCGGGCCCATTTCCTGAAACTTATTTTTCCTATCAAATTTCGACAGCTACCCCAGCTGCTACATGGTGGTCCAGTTTTAAAAAATATGCAATAGATGAAAGTTTCACAAATCTTGCTTGTTCCTTGATGGCAATGCCTGCTAGTTCTGCTGGACTTGAGAGAATCTTCTCAAATTTCTCGTTCGTGCATAGGCAAATTGAGAAATTGTTTAGGTTTAGAAACTGCATCAAAACTTGTCTTTTGTTATAGATTACTGCAGAGTGCAAACAATGTAATATTTGATTTTGAATGGTGATAATTTTGTAAATAAATTGTACTTTGTTTAACATTTAATTGTTTTTTCTATGAATTATCCATTGTATGTCAATCTCAGTACTTACTTTTATGTGATTTTCTGCCACAAATGTGGCAGAAAAAGGTGTCTGCCTTGCCGGTTTTAACCGGTTTCTACCAGTGGCTTTAGCCACTTTGGCAGAAATTTGCCAACCTTGATGATGATTGATTAGTAAAGATTTAAATGTTAATTTTTATTTTTTAAAAACTAGTGACATACAATGGATGACAATAGTGACAATATACTACAATATCAATTTTAAATTATTTATTTAACATCCCCATTTTTTCCACTTAATGAATAAAAACACTCCTTATCATATGTCACTAAAAATTCAGATTATGAACCTGTATAAATATTGGTTTTATTTCATTTTGATAGTTTAAAAATTAACTATGTCCTTATTATTTTACATTCTGCTGTTAAGTTTTTACTAAAACTTAGCTGCAAAACCAAACAAAAAAAAAAGGTTTTATACATACCCGTATAAAACACAATCATTAGCGTTTTTAAAAAGTGCTTAAAGATGCTTATTTTTTATTTACCTTTTTTAAAAGCCCTTAAAGATGCTTTTTTTTATTCAGGGTTTGTAAAAAGTGCTTAATTTTCTATCTTTTAAAAAGAGTTGTTTTTCTCTGCAATATTTTATCAGAAACTAGTTATTTTATCATGATTAAGAAACTAGTTATTTTATCATGATTAAACGATAGAAAAATAATAATTTTGATTACTGCACAGATCCTAATTATTATTTTTTTTTTTTTGGAAAGTGATTAAAAATATTTTTTGAGTGCTTAAAATGTGATTTTTTTTTTTTTTTGGAAAAATCTGGCTACGCACCCTGTAATATATTTCGCTACTTTTTCTTCAATGTGTCGCAACTGTATATTTTTATATTTATAAGTTTAAAACTGATAAGGAAAAAAAAACATATTGTTTAATTATGTGCAGTCTATATTAAATAAGAAATGGCATAGATTTGATGATAAATCTTATAGATTTGGTTACTTACAACAAATTTAATAGTTCTTTGAATAAATGACTTGCAAAATAAATTAAAGCTATTGTCTCAATGTTTTTTGTTTTGTTTTTTAAGGTAGACGAATTGGTAAAGGGGAAGGATTTGCTGACATGGAATTTGCTATGATGGCTACAATGGGAGCTGTTAACTCAGAAACAGTTGTTATTTCAACAGTTCATGACTGTCAAGTATTGGATTTGCCTGATCATCTATTTGGACTTCATGATGTTCCGGTTGATATTATTGTGACCCCAACCAGAATCATACGTTGTGAACCACGCTTGCCTAAACCTAGTTGCATAATCTGGTCATTATTAAGTGAAGAAAAGATGAGTCAAATACCTATTTTAGGAACTCTGAAAGAAATAGAAGCTAAAAATCCTAAGATGTAAAGTATTATTATGTTTGTTAAGTTTTGATATTTTTTAAATAAAATTAATTATATTTTTAAAATATGCCTACTAATTTTATATTACTATTTAAATTATAATTAAAATAATTTTCTGCTATACTTTTCTCCCTTATACTGGTGAAAAATAAGCACCAAGATATTAACCGATCCAATGTTGCACCCTCTAGAAAATTAATTGACAAGTTTTCCCTCTTCCAACGAAGTTATTTTGATTACAAATAGCAAAAATTTCTGGATATTGCGCTTTTGCACCAAATTATAACTATACGCTAACCATTCTCAACTCTATGTTAGTTAAGCAAAGGGAAGGATTTAATTTGTCAAGACAGAAATAACTTTGCATATAATAAAATAAAAAAAGTTAATGACAGTATCCAAAAGATAACCTCAAATTTAATTAAATAAAAAATATTTTAAGTTGGTCTTTATATGAAAAAAATAAATGTCTGCATTAATTGTAATATTACTAAAAATGAATAGTTTAAAATTTATAAGGGTGCAACAAAAAATTAGGTGGTATTAAAAATTTTAGAATATTGTACTTTTCTGCTATTATAAGAAGCTTTTGGTAGACAGTACTAAAACTAACATTTAAATCTGAATTATATGATTCAATAAGTTTAAGAAGCTGCTTGCAAATAATACAATTATTTTCTTTGAAAAAAAATGCTGTAAATTAAAATTGTTTCAGAAAATAACTTCAAAATTATTATAAAGCAATTATTGCCTTTTATTTATTAGCTTACAGAAACTGAGTGGTCTAACTAAATTGTTATAAAAAAAGAAACTAAAACTGTTTAATGAATGATATATTGCAGTACTGACTTTTTGAGAAAAAATTTGCATACAAAAATATTAACTGTTAAATGCTAATTTTTTTTATGAGGGATGCTCCAAAATCAAATTTTATAATTTTTTCATGATGACTACGATTCTTTACTATACATCTACTTACTATCTATCTTTACAACGAATTGATTACATACAATGGCATGATGAAATACAGACTTAGTGTTATTCTTTCTCCTAGTGGTCACTACAATTAATGCATTTTCTGTGCCAGGTAATCAATTTCAAAAAGTTAACTTAATAGAAAATATGTGCCTAATGGTTTAAAGATATTTTTCCTAATGTACTTTGCAAAAAAGCAGTCCAAAAGTATAGTTGGTTAGTAAAACGTTGATTACATTAAAGAACTGGGTCCTATTAGTCAACTTAACAACCAATGTGTGTAGATAGTAAAACCTACTTTAAATCTGTTGTGATAGAAAACTCTTTTGTTAGTGTGGAAGTTTGGAGAGAGAGTTTGTCCACATTGTTTGACTGGGGTTAAAATCAATTGCATCCCTACCATAGTGGCTAAAATATAGAACCCTAATAAACAGTTTGATGGCTCGGCCATATCTGGAGAGGCTCTGAAGATAGCCCTGCAAAAATTGCCACCTTCAAGAACCCTCAGGGGTCCCGCTCTAGAGGTAGACCACCTACTCGATGGCTCAACGACACCGAAAACGACCTCAAAGTCCTAAAACTAAGAACTGGAGGGGAGTTGCCATGGACAGAGGGAGCTGGAGAAGGCGTGCTGTTGAGGCAGCCAAGGCCTGCAAAGGGCTGTTGCGCTCCTGAAGAAGAATAAACAGTTTGGTATTTGGCCATGTCCCAGGTTAAGTAGTCTGTGTACTTCAGAAATGACTGTTTAACAATACTTCAACAAAAAAGGGGATACAAAGGGCATGATCATTGTTGTAATATTGGGGTGAGCCTATCTCTTAAATCCAAGGAGAGGACATGAATGTAGGTCTCACATTATTGCATAATGACACACTGTTGTATTGTTTTAGCAATGAGGCATTAGTATCAAGGTTGGCAAGTTTTTGACACATGACGGTTTATATTGTCATGTCAAAAACCCATAGTTTTGATAAAACTGTATTTTAATTTGAGTTTAACTGCTTATGATTTAAAATTAATTCATTTTAGGGCAATAAAATTAGAAAAAAAGTTGTTAAAAGATATTTAAGAACAGATTTTTGCGTTTTCCCAACATGATTATATCAAATCATACTATTTGAAGTAAAATATTAGGATACTAAACAAAATTTTCAACATTTCCAAACATCATTTTGTTTGGCATATTACATTACTGAAGAATGTCAAGTCATTCCTGACTTAGAGTTTGTTAGTAGTTACAAGTTTTGAAAGTTTTGTTTAGCTTATTTCTAATATTTAAGAAATGCCAAATTTTAAATTCTTCTTTTTAGTTTTTGAATTTATTAATAGTTCCAAGTTTGTTTATTTCAAACAATTAAGAAGTGCAAAATTTTGAATCTTTGCAAATCAAGTTATAATGATAAAAGTTAAGTATCACTATTTTCAATAAGTATATTACAATATTTCTGTATGAATGTATATCCTTCTATAAGAATTAAATACATGTATATAGTTGCAAAATCAATAGCAATCATTTACAACATTCTATAAAGGCAATTAAGTGAAAATAATATATTGTCCGCTATTTGCCATAAATTAAAGAAAACAGTAGGTTTTTTTACGGTTTTTACCACTGTCGTGTTAAAAACCAGTTTTTGACGGCAAAAACTCAACCCTGATTAGTATGCTTTATTAAGAACCCTGAAATGAGAAAATCAATCAATAATCACCTGAACAACAGACTTTATTCTTAGACTTTTATTTTTTGTTTGAAATAAAGATAGCACTACTAAACATCTATTCTAAATCAATATAGAGATTCGAAAATTACGAAGAACATCTTGACCTGACAAAAATTACCTTCAAAATAATGAGAGAGAAAAAACTTCCATGTTTCATTAAATAAATTCTAATTTAAAGAATTATCATTTTTCCTGAAAATCATAGATTTGTTATAACATTTAAACTAAATGATGATACATAAAGTACAAAATTAGTCAAAAGAATAAAAATATTTCTAAAAAATAGTTTATATTATCACAATTGTATCCAGCATATTATACTATATATATAGATATATATATAGTATGTATAGTAGTACTATGGTAGACACAATTTTTAAACCCAAATGCTTTATTAGAATGAATTATGTCTAGCTCTTGGCTTGGGTTTTAACATTCACCTAAATTTATTAAGATATTTATCTAAATTGAAAATGTTAGAGCACTAAAAATCAATTAAAAAACATTCGCTAATTTTATTTTTTTTTAAAAGCAAGAAACAAAATTCACAAATTCTGAAATATTAAACAAAAAACAATATTTTTTTTAAACAACCTTACTTTTTTACAAAATTTATATGTAACAAAAATAATAGTCTAAAAACTAAATGTAACAAAAATAATTAAATGGTCACTTTTACATATCACACTTTGAGCATTGACACTGGTGTTTCAGAAATCTCTACAAGATTCATTACCTTTCTTGACAGCAAATATATATAAAAAAAGTTTTAGGAGATAGGGTTATTAGTTTTATTTTTTTTTAAAAGCAAGAAACAAAATGCACAAATTCTAAAACATTAAACAAAAAACAATATTTTTTTTAACAACCTTACTTTTTTACAAAATTTATATTTAATAGTCTTAAAAACTAAATGTAACAAAAATAATTAAATGGTCATCTTTAACATAACAATTGTCACTTTTACATATCACACTTTTACATATCACAATTGTCACTTTTACATATCACACTTTGAACATTGACACAGGTGTTTTAGAAATCTGTACAAGATTCATTATCTTTCTTGACAGCAAATATATAAAAAAAAGTTTTAGGAGATGGGGATATCATAATAGCTAACTTGTTTGAAAATCTAACCATCATAGCAGAACAATTATGCTTAATATAAATTTATTATATATATTATTACATATATTATTCTTTATATAAATTTACAATAATTTTCTTCCTTATTAGAACAAATCTTCTTTTACAAAATATTCAAATTAAAAATCTGTACTGCTACTAGGATAAGATACTCAGAAATTATGAAACCACACAATTACAACATCCAATTTCATTCTCTACTGAAGCCTTATTTGCATTATCAGATAATTAACAACTAATCAAAATATTATGTTGCCTTTAAGCAGGGGTCTGTTTAGAAGAAATTTGGGTCCATTAACGGACCCTTCACAAAATATCTTTTCATGAAAACGGACCCTTCACAAAATATTTTAACTTAAAAACGGACCCTTCACAAAATATTTTAACTTAAAAACGGACCCTTCACAAAATGATTTTTCTTTTAATCGGACCCTTCACAAATTTGTTTATCTTCATTATTATTTTGTTAATCGAATAAACCCTTTCCAGGGCAGAAAACAAGAAAGATGGATGTAAACGAATTAAGTTTTGTCTTCGGCAGACGATTCTTCCATTATTCGTCCGAAATTAATATTCTGCGTTCAGCAGTATAGGCTAAATACCAAATATTTGTATGTTGCATCTCTAATTTAGAAGCAGCAATTGTTGTTTATTTTTTAAAATTTAATTTTTTTAATTATAATTTTACAGTGTTGAGCATAATCTTGTATGTCTTTACAATTTAAAAACTCCTTAAAAAATTTTTTTTTTGCAATAACGGACCCTATTTGCACAAATTCATAAAAGCGGACCCTGGTTGAATGAATGTGAGTAATTTTTTCACAATTTCACGAAAAACGGACCTTTCACAAAATGTCTGGACAGACCCCTGCTTTAAGCAAGTAAAAATTATTGATTTCCAAAATTTTGTTGCATTGCTTGAACTGTTTTCTTTTTTGAAATGTTGTAGAGGAGGCTTAAATTTTTAGTTTTAGAATTTGAAATTAGAGAATGTGTTACATTAATTTCCTTCATTTAGTTGACTTCGATTCGGAAAATATGTCTATGGAGTATCATTTAAAAAAAGAGGTTTAAAATTTTAGCTTCTGTAATACTTCTTATTTAAATAAAAATATTCAGAATAGCTACACTTTGTTTAAAAGTTACTTGAACCAGACAAATCATGAAATTACGCAACAATTACAACAAATCTCACTCCCTTCTCCATAATTGCTTGGATTGTCAGATGAATTGTAATTATTCGAACTATGACGTGGTTGCTGTTGTACAGGAAACTGAGACGATTGATATGTACCATTTTGCTGGTTTGGATTCTGAATCCTCTGTGGATTGTTGAGGGATAAATTTGAATTTTTTCTTATAGTACTACCACTTGATGATGTATTACCTTGTAATGCTCTTTGAATGGGAGGTAGAGATGGTTGATTTCCAACATTTTGTTGCCTAGCTTTTTGAATTGTCTTCTTTGGTTGAGTGTTGTTTAAATTCTTAGTTACAGAGCTACTGCTAGGTAGTATATGATCTTGATACTGTCTTTGAATAGGAATGTATAATTGATTTGCATCATTTTGTTGGCTTTGTTTTGGAAGATATGTCTGATGTGGAATACCATAGGGAAGGTTTAAATTGTTAGTTTCAGTAACATAAATATTTGTATTTATAATATTATATTGATTAAAAGTATTGGTAACATTTTTTATTTGTACACTTGATGGATTTCTTTGAGTTGTAGCAGGCAAGACAGTGGATCTATTATAATTTGGTTTCATCCACATATGAACTGTGACTTTAGTCTCTAAGCAAGGCGTGTAACCAAATTTACGAACATTGAAGCTCTTGTTAACATAATGTTCATGAATGAGAGGTCCAAATACTGTTACCATTCCACTTTCTTTGGCACCTTGAAGTGCAAGTCTGTAAAAGCCTCCTGCATCATTATCAATGAATAATACTAATGCTCCTGGTTTGAGTGATCTAAAGATTTTCTGTAAAAATAAAGATACATATAACATTTAGATTCCACTTATTATAAAAAAAAGGTTTTGATATTATATCTTAATTTTAATATACAATCATTTAAAAGGTTTCTTAGATAAATGAAATAGGATTATACATAAGATTCAGGGTGAGTAGCCAGATTTTTCAACCAAAAATTAACACCTTTTAACTACTTTTTTAAGCACTCAAAAAATATTTTTAATCACTTTCCAAAAAAAAAAAAAAAAANAAAAAACAAAAAAAAAAAAAAAAAAAAAATCATATCTAGGATCTGTGCTGTAAAAAAAGTTATTTTTTTCTATTGTTTAAAGTTCTTAATTTATAAACATAAAGTCAATAAAATTCAAAAACATTTTCATGAACTTTACATAATCATGATAAAATAATTAGTTTCTGTTAAATATTGTAGAGAAAATTGTGTAAATCGTGCATTTTTTGTAATTTAGAACAATCGGCACAACAAAGAAAAAGATCTCTTTTTAAAAATAGAAAATTAAGCACTTTTTATAATCCCTGAATAAAAAAAGCACCTTTAAGGGCTCTTAAAAAACATAAATCAAAAATTAGCACTTTTTAAGAAAGATACGCACCCTGAGATTAGTTTAAGATATGAGATTATATATAAGATTAGTTTATATATTTAAGTGGAATTGTATGATGGTAAACTGGTAATGTCTCACTCTAAAAAAAACATGTGTACTGTTTATAAATATACAAAGTTATTTGAATTACTCATAATTGAGACTTATAGAATAAAGGCACGTGTGCTAGGCCTTTTTTTTAATGTTAAATGTTTTGCAGAAAATTTTCAAAGTTTTATGAAAATCTAAAGAAAAAAAAAAGGAAGAATTCTGTTCCATTTTTGAAGAAACCATTTCATTCTATTTTCGTAATTGTTAATATATTTCTTAATTCCTTTTTGTAATAATATTTTATTTTGCAATTGGCATTGAACAGTCGACCCGATTCTGAGTTCACAACTATCATTGTCCAACTTCGTGGCCTTGTAATTTATCCAACCCGGAAGACAAGGGAACATCTTTATCGAGTATCAGGGCACATAAGCCTTTTAGGAGGACATTTTGATGGAACAAACCAGCATTTACTATACATAGAGAGAAAAAATCACAAAACCTCCCACATTTAGCCCTATGACAAGGGGATTCTAACCCATGATCCATCTACCACTCAGGATAATCCACGTCACCACAGTGGTTGGTGCGAACCAGGAGCAGAACTGTATCAACCAGCTGCTTTTAAGATTTTGGCCTGGATAACATTTTCGAAAAGTGTACCTACACTTTATCCTCCAAGCCACAGCAGTTCAGAATAGTGATTTTTATTTATTTATTTTTTTATATAACCGGCATTGAATAGCAGACCTAATTCTGAGTCTACGTCTATCAATGTTGAACTCTGTAGCCTTGTAATTTTGAACCCAATCCAAACAAGGGAACTCCTAGATCAAGCATTGGGATTAACAAGCCTTCTTGGATTACTTTTTGATTTACTCTTGGATTACTTTTACTAACACACATATGCATTTCATGGAGAGAAAAACCTCCCATGGTTAGCCGGACTGCAGTAGGATTCTAACCCATGATACATCTAACAGTGAAGATATGTCTGCACTGTGGTCAGATTTCACACTAACCAGCCACCACTAGGATTCGATCACCTGAGCCACTGTGGCTTAGAATAGTGTTGTTTTAATATATAGTGTTTTTGTCCTATGTATAAATATTATGTTCTGAAATTTGACAATCACATGACAAGGCTTTTGGTTTTATATAGGCTTGTAATTTCCATTGCAATGATGGCCAAAATTATATAAATGTGTTAAAGGCTAATTCTATTCCTTCACAGGAAAAATGGTAACCAGAGGGAAAATATTAAAAACCTGGCAAATACTATAAACCCATGTTTATTTCTTGGCAACTAGTAGGTTATTTATAACTGATATTAAGATATATCATTTCTATGTTACAGCTATAAATATGACCTAGTAACCAACCACACTAACCAGCCACCAGAGGGAAAATATTAAAAACCTGGCAAATACTATAAACCCATGTTTATTTCTTGGCAACTAGTAGGTTATTTATAACTGATATTAAGATATATCATTTCTATGTTACAGCTATAAATATGACCTAGTAACCAACCGTTTGGAGAGCAAAATGATGTAAGCTATCTCATGCAATTAAATTGCAAAATGGAAGAAAATTTTATGCAATTAAAAACTCAGGAAATTAATAAATGTACCAGATTCACAATAATCATAATTTTTATATTAAAATCATTTATATTATTGCATCATAATACATTAATTATATCATACCTTTATTGCAACTGTGTATGTTAAATATAACAGTATCTTTGAAAATGTATGCTCAAGTTGTTAGCAAAAATTGATACTGTTAGTTTTCAAAAGTTTTACTTTGAAATTAAGTATTAGAATTTGTATTTATTTTTTTATAAATGAGTTTCATAATATCATCAATACATACATCCACACTAAATTAAGAAGTTGCAAACTTAATAATTTGTAACAGAATGATAAATTAAACACAAATATTTAAATTAGTAAATATGTAATAGTTTTGTCATTTTTTTTAAAGAAAGTTACATTAGAAAAATACTTTTTCACCTTGTATATGTACTTTTAATATTAAATATTTCCAGAATTATTTGTTCTAAATATAAAATTTTTTTTGAGGATTTTGAAAATCTCAACTATAAAAATGATCATTAAATGGTATAAATTAGAAAAAAAGAGTTTATTATTGAAAGAGTTTATTTTAAAATCATATATAAAAACTAACAACACAAACATATTTAGGAACAAATATCTAAAACATTAAATAAATAATAAACACAGCAAAATGTTTTAGAACATTAGTTCTTAAAATGATCATGTATACCTGAAATGTTTAAGTTTTTGTTCACAGTACTGTTTTCAATGAATAAAAAATGGTAGCAACAATAGTTTTTCTTTCCAAAACAATTAAAAGCATAGGAAAAATTATTTTTTTAAGGATCATAATTTTTCTAATTATTACATGTTATTGCTATTTTAATAAAATTCGTTCTTTATTAATAATTTTATAATTAATTGGTTATAATTTATTAGTATTCATTACTATATAAAATAAGTTTCATTAATGTTTTTTTTTGTATTTTAGTGTATATAGATATTATTTCAATAATACATCTTTAGTTTTATCCTTTTAGTATATCACATCTGCTTTGGTCACCATACCATGTTTAATAAGTTTTCTACATAGTAATACTTTTTATTCATTTAAATATTATTTATTAATAAAAGACTATCTTTTTCCTTTCTTAATACTATAAAAAAAGCATCTGATGCTCTTTTTATGAACATATATATCTTTTTAGTTTAATATTAGCTTTGATTGAAAGCATCAAATTAATATTTGCAATTATAATATTAAAATAGATATATATAATTACCTTAAGCATTTCAGCAGTATCTTTACAGGCAGCTGCTGAAACAAATTTCACCATAGTGACCAAGTTTGCCCCTTGAATAGCCTTATTTACATCATTGTTCATTTTTCCTAATAAATTATGCCCTATGTAATTCCAACTGAAATATTGAGGCTGAACAAATTCACTTATTAATCCATAACTCCCACAACGTAATTCTTTAATTATAGCAGCGAATGTATATCTCCAATCTCCCATACAATCTACAATAGTTGCTGAAAATTGGAAAAATCCTAATTCAGCAGATAAAACAGAAGTCACTCCTAGAACATCACTCCCTGGTCCCCCGCCTAAACTACAAACTTCCAAACGTCCTGTATCAGCTATAATTTCTTGTAATATAAATCTCACTTCTTGCATCGATTTGTTCAACATATCACTCACAAGGGCGGTATGTAATGGAGCATATTTATGCAAATAAGCACATCTATGGGCAGGGTCGTTATAATTGGCGACATCCAGAAATTCGGAAGATAAACTTGAAGGATTAGGTTTGTAAACTTCTTTCATATTTTGTATTCCAGTCCGAATATCGGCGTGGTTAAGCTGGTGTTGTCGAATATCTTCATAAAGAACGTTATTAAATAATCGTCTTATAGTGTCATTATTGAATTCCATCGTAAACTTATTTTTTTTTAAAATTCAAATGCTTTAAAAGACTATCTACTCAGCATATCTTCCTATCTATTCGATCCTCCGAAACAGAAACTGACAATGACAAAAAGAAACTGAGAATGATAATGAAAAGGAACAAAATTATGCACAACCTTTGAGTTTGGCGTAGTCTATTGTTTTTGGCGTTATTTAGAAGAGATTTGGCGTCGAAAGAAAGTATTTAAAACTTATTTTATGGTTTTATCGAACATCTTTTTCACCCACTTTAATTTTACTACTATTTACAGTGTTTAAATTATGGTTAGTTGATAAAATGTGCGTTATTAACCGAAATGAAATATTTGTTTTTAAATAATTTTACTGTTTAATTCAATTCGCGTTTTCTTTAATAGAAGGAAAAGTGTGTTCTAAAGTGCGTTCTCTTTGTTAGAACAAAAAAAGTGTTCTAAAAGGGAAGAAAAATCATTGAACGAAAAGAAGTTCCCTTATTTATTAAAGAAAATCAATTCCTGTTCGAAATAAATAATTTTAAAAAAAAAATGTAATATTTTTTAATTTGAATAGTTGTTAGATATTTTTTTTTTTTTTTTGCGTTAAATAATAGTAAATCGTTATAAAAATTATTTTTGTATGAAATTTTAGAAAAATCGGTTTTATTATTGTGTACAAAATTTATTTCATATCAAAAAATATTATCAAAAATACGCAAAAATCAACATTAAACAGCTCAAACATTCGGTTAAAAGTTTGAATCTGTAAAAATAGATAAATAAAAATATGTTTATGCAGCGTTCGATGTTACTTACCCGCCGCATTTACTTACCAGATCATCTATTACTTACCTATTATTTACTTACCCCATCGATCTGAAGCTGGGTGAGCACCCTGGGGTTAGAATTAGGTTATTTTATATAAACTATGAACTTATATTTTAAACATTTCTTTAATAAGAAATAATAATTCCGAAAATTTGCGATTTTGAGAATTAGCCATTTTATAATATGTGTAGAGAAAAAAGGAAATTAATGCAAAGATTTATTTATTTTTATCAAAAATTCCCCTTCTTGTTTGTAGTGCAAAATCAAGTAACACATGAGAATGTTTTTTTTTTTTTTCATATTACGACATGACGAAGAACACTCCTATTAGTTTGAGTTTACGAATTATGAAACAAACCAAAAAAAGACTTGAATAGAGTACGCGAGTATAATTTCTTTTGATTTTATGTGCATAATAGCTAAAAAAACAATGAAATGAGGTAATTAATAAAAAATATAACCAATTCCATAGACGGTCCGAGAACAAAAATTTTAATATTTTACGCATTTGATCTCGTTATAAAAACTAAAAAGCTTTTATAATATTGTGGGTGACATCACAGTTGCTTAAAAAAATATTGGTTGGGTTAAATCCAGACCTTTCAGCGCCACTAGCCCAAATCTTATAGGATGTGTTAAAAAATATGATGGTCCCATCGCTGGCCGATTCATTTAAAGAAATAATAGATTTTATTAACATTTTTTGTCAATGAGTTTTTTATATCGCTATAAACTATATGATGAAATAGTAAAACGCTAATTAAATTGTTCGTTTTTCTTTGGCGATATTAATAAAGGGCAAAAAGTTGCCAAAATCTGAAGTGTTTAAAATGATATTGAAACCGAAAAAAGAGGGGATTCCCCTATTCGCGTGTTCTACATCTGTTAGATAAGGATGAACTCGTTATCAGATTTAGTTTTATCATTCAACATCTTTTCTTTTTTTTTTCCAACGTTATATATATTAATTTTTGATAGAAATATTAAAATTATTTTAAAAAATATCTCAAAGTATCATTTTAAGTTGTTTCGCTGTCTGTCATCAGTACATTAAAGCTCTAAATTAGCATTTTTATAGTGAAATACGTGTAATCAAATTTTGCGCTATTTTGTAACTATTGAGTTCAGAAAGTGTGACGAATACTACTTTTCTAAAGGACGTTGATGAAAAATAACACATTTTAGCACGAACATTTCCATAAACAAAATTTTTGAATCGTTTTTAACTGTGAATTTTCATTTTTTAAATAGGTTATATGTAAGGTAGGAAATTTTTTTTTGTTATTAATTGTTGTGTGCACGTAATTTGTTATCAAAAGTGAGTATTTATCTTAGAAAATGTTTATCTACTGATTGCTCATGAGCTCATGTAGGAATTTCTTAGAGCCCTAAGATATTAAATAAGATATACTAATCTTAAAAGTTTATGAAAGCATTGAAATATGTGATTTATATTAATTAATAAAAAGAAGATTTTGTGTGCGTTTATGTGTACCTCTCAGTATCCTGAAATATTAAGAGACGTTTGGAAAAAAAAATTCTTTGATTTAGAATTAACCATTGTTTTCTTTATGAATGGTTCTAAACTTAACTATAGACGTCCCTATTTTTTTTTTTTTTTTTAATATTTTAAAGGTAATTCAAATTATAAGATTTTAAGTATTAATCTTATAGTGTAAATTATTTATGTTTGCCAGCTTACTGCTCTGAATGATTAAAAAAAAATCTGAGAGTATATAGTTTATCGAGAAATGATTTTAGCTGCGTTAAGAGAATTGGTTATTTGCACTTCAAGAAGAAGATAACAGATACCCACACATGTGACCTATCACGTCAGCGCCAGTAGATCGTTGATAAGCAGATAATTAATGCGCAGTTAATTAAATACAGCACCGTATCACACATCGAATTTAATAAAAAATAATTCTTTCTCGACGACGTCTTTTACTTAACTTAGATTAATTATTTGTAACCGTGATATACTTTTGCTTTGCGTACCTGGAAACTTCGATGAATAATTAGTTGGTTTATGTTCTACATGGCTTCGTACCTGTCTTTGTATTAAGTAAGTCATATATATTGTGAAAGAATTGAATATTTGTGAAAGAATATAGAATGTGTCATTTAAGAGAATTGATACTTGGCTGATATGGTTTACTCGAAATAGAACAGTTGCTGTTCTAAACAAATGCCACGTTACAACAACCAATCAGATCGAGATACCCACACTACGTCACTTGCTGGTATCCCATTGATCTACACAAGATGTGATGCTTTGATTTTGGTACTTATAAAAAAGATAGTTTGAAGAAATTCGACGCTTATATGTTTGGAATTAGGTATACAGATAATAATAAAAAGCGCAAATTAAACTATTCCTATAAAAAGCTGACTGTATTTATAAAATCCGGTAAACTCCCACAGAAATGGGTTTTTACTGGGAATAACACCTTGAAAAATCTTATGGGGTGTGACGTAGATCATCTTATAACCAGTTGTATAAAGTTTATTTATTTCATTTCCTTTGTTTTTAAGGGATTTATTTTACATACTTTTATATAAATTTTGCAACTTTCTTGTCTTTTGGCTGAAATCTTGAGGTAACGCAAAAGTACATAGTACTGCTTTCATTTTTATTACCATCTTAAAATTTTTAATTATACCTGCATTTTTAATTGTACCTTTTAGTTTTGGGCATCATCGCACAATTTTATTGTTGACTAACTGAAAATGCGCCAAGTAATATTTTCAATTACCATCATTTAAGAAAAATGTTGATTAATTCTTTGGCCATTTTGCTCGACTCGACTAGACTCGCGCTTTGGTCGTCGGGCTACCAAAGCAGGAGAGCCATCCCCTCTGCATAGGATCAAAATTGCGATGGTATGTCTTCGGATCATCCTCAGGGATGTTTCCCAGACCGTGCAGCTCTAGTGCGAAGTATATAAAGTACATACCTAAAATATTAGTTCAGAATTAACTGTTCCATTTTTGGGACTATGGCATTTTTTTAAAGTTCTATGTTTAGATTTTGTATAATTCATGGGGCTGTGATGTGTGCATGCCAGTTATACAGGATACAGGAATAATAATGTTGACAGTTATACAGGAAAAATAATGTTGAAATAGAAAAAAGTGGTTGTACTAGAAAAGGTCGCCTATGTTCAATTTCTCTTGGATTTGCAAGCAACTAATAATAACACTAATACCAAGTATGCGTTCAATCATTATCAGTTTGAATTCATTATCTTTTGTTGAAATTCTTAACTATTGAAAAAGGAAGTTCTTTCTGATAAGGTCAAAAAGCTTCTAAAGGGGTGTAATACTTTTTTACGTTATTTTAAAGGGGTTTTTCAATGTGTTCCTAGCACTGGTATTGAGTAGATTCTTGATATTGATAGTTTTTCCTTTCTCAGTCTTGTAATTTATATAATTTCCAAGTGGCATTTGTTGATACCATATGAGTTAGAGAATAGTGGACTTTTTTTTAATTCGCTTCAATTATAAAATTACATAATAATAAGATTATGGGAGTCGCCACACTCTGGTTTTGGTTGGCGATTTCCGCCAGACGTTGCCGATTGTTCCACATGGAACATGGATTTTTAAATTCCTTAGAGCTTATTCCTATGCTTTAGAGTTAAAAGTTGGAATCTTGTGGCCGGGTAAACATGATGAAATAGGCTGGGTGACTTATGGGCCAAACGGCGTAAAGAGCTTGAGTAAGTAAAAAATCAGAGTCTGGGATATAGATATTTAGGTACTAAAATTAAAAAAAAAAGCATTTATAAAATTAAAATAAGAGAAATAAACATGCAAATTTTAAAAAAGTTGACAATTTTTGCAAATTTTTCTTTTTTTTTAAGAATCAAAAGCTTGAAATAAACATTACATTTCCATGTTTTTATGATTTTATTAATAAAAAATTATTTTAGATTAAATAATAGCATTGTTTTGTATGTTACTAGGTGAAAAAAAAGCACTATCGATATGTCCATGTATGTCTTTGGCATTTTACAAATTTCGGCTTACTTAATAAATTTGAACCCATTTCTAATTATTAGTAAAAATAAAAAAAAGACAGGGTTAGGGGAAAAAATATAGTAATAAATATTTTATTTAAAAATCCAATCATCATTAATGATAAAACTTTTTATAACTATTTAAAAACACTGTCATGACGTGGTGATAGAGCATTTCTTATTCATGCAAAGTAAAATAACTTCAGTTCATTATAAATATTATAGACAAGCATAAATGTTACCCACTTAGCTGTGAAAATCAAAGGAATCAACAACCTTAGTGATAACGCATTTTTAATTTAAGCATCGATTATGAATCGATACTGACCACAATCGATCATTTTAAGGCTTATAGGGTGGTTCTATATAATCTAATTAGCAGTTTATTGTGAGAAGTTTATTTAGTTTGTTTTTTTTAACCTGTGTGAAACCAATTTTACGAACTGGGCGATTTTTAGAGTAGCATAGAGCAACTGGTATGTACTGATTAAATAGCATCACTGTATGCGATCGACCCAATCGCTATAGTTCGGTATCAAGGTTTCATTCACCTATGAACTGCAACTTAAGAAGACAAACAGTATTTATACATATAACCTTTCAATTGGCAGATTGAGAGAAACTTGTCCAGTATTAAGAACCGGTCAATTTTGAGAGTTAGTGTGGGTGTACTGGTGCATATGTACTGAATACCATTACTGTATTCGATATATTATGATTTGGTCGCATCCACATATGAATTGTAACTTTAATTTGTAGACAAGGTGTGTAACTAATATTCCAATATCAAAATTCCTATATGCATAATGTTCGTTAGTAAGAGATCCGAATACTGTAACCACACTACTTTTTTGCGACTTGGATCATAAGTCTGTGAAACTCTAGCAGCATTATCAATGAACTGCAATAATGCTTCTGGTGAAAGTGTATTAGTTTAAAATATATAGATAAACATTAATTATCTGATTTATATCATCTTTCAATTGGCAATGCTTTCTAGGAAACTTATCCAGTTTTAAGAACCGGGTAATTTTGAGAGTCGGTGTGGGCGTATTGGTGCATATCGACTAAATCCCATTACTGTATTCGATCTATTATAGTTTGGTTTCATCCACATATGAACTGTAACTTTAGTCTGTAGACAAGGTGTGTAACCGAATCTCCGAATATCGAAACTCCTGTTTATATAATGCTCGTGAATAAGAGGTCCGAACACTGTTACCAAACTATTTTCTTTTGCGCCTTGAACCATAAGTCTGTAAAAGCCTCCAGCATCATTATCGATGAACAGCACTAAAGCTCCAGGTGTCAGAGATCTGAAGATTTTCTGCAAAATATATAGACAAAATAAATAAATAATTAGTTTATCTAATCTTTTAAGTGGTAATGTGTTGTTCAGTGAAGTTTATCACTTTCTTCGATCCATAACAACCTATCTTACAACGATAACCAGAAGCATGTGACCGTATTTAAGATAAAATTGTCAAATCTTTTCATTTTCAACTTTTGAGATTCCTTTTAAGTCTGACTTTCAGTAAATTTATCTATTAAATCTATGGTTAGCTTAAAATTAATTATTAAATCTACAGTTTCATATACATATTATTTTAAAACCATAATATACCTAGTTAATATGAACTTCTTTTATTGAACTAATTTCCGATTCCCCCGACAAATTGTACACGGATATAATGCTTTAAAGTACTTATAACGTAAACAAGCTTTACGTGGGATGTTTTTCAGTTGAATTCGAATTTTATTTCCCCTGGAAAAAGGTTTTGCTTTTTAATGGAACAGACAATTTATTTCTTATCTGACAGATAAGAAAACTGATCATTCACAATTATATATTCATAAGAGTGGATATATCTGAATGCTTTGTTTTAGAGTCGATAATTTCATCATTACACCAGTCAAAGAAAAGGGTTGTATGAATTGAATCTGTTAAGGTGGTAGGAGTATTACGGGAAATAAGATAAACCCTTTTGTATTCTTTATAGCTTTATTTTATTTTTTAAAGTAATTAGTTGAAATTACTATGAGAATATGTATAAAAGTTTTTAATTTAATATAAAGTTCAAAATAAAAACAGTTATTGAATTGAAATTTATATTAATTTATTTATTCATAATATAGATAAATGATTAAAAACAAATAGAAAATTTCTGTGTATTATACGAATTTTCCGTCCCTCTACGAGTTGACGTTAACGAGGTTTGACCAAAGAATATATAAGTGAGACATATTCTTCACATTATTTTTCTTTGGTTTGACATATATATATGGGCTGCAATAGTGGCACAACTCAAAAAACACGCGTTTTGGACTAATAACAGGTGTCAATATGAAAACACACATTCCTTCAGCAGTAATACTAGCACCTAATTATAATACTAGCACCTAATAATACTATATCCTAATCTTGTATGATATTCTGATTAGTTTTTTAGTACACAGGGCCGGATCAACCTATAGGCATACTAGGCACGTGCCTAGGCCCTAGGGCCTACGAAAAACTTGGGAGGAAAAAAAATTGTTGACAAAAATAATTTAGCTTTAAAAACAACAAGTGTATTTCGCACAAAATTATGAAGATACAAATAAAAATATAATATTTTTCGGTAATAAATTATTTTGCAGAATCTTATGATCTAGTATATTACTTTTTTTGCGATTTTTGGATTCTACGAAATCTTTTATTATGCTGTCGAATTCCAAACTACGCAAAATGTCGTATTCAATAGACATAAGTACGAGCGATGCCAAACGATCTTGATTCATTGTTGAACGCAAATAATTTTTTATCAATTTTAATCTGGAGAAAGATCTTTCTCCTTCTGCATTTGATCCAAGAATCGACAAATATATTCTTAATGCAATGTGAACGTTAGGAAAAGTATTCACAAGTTTATCTTTAATTTGAGCCTTCAACATTTCTTGTGCAGATTTATGTTCATACAAATTTGAAAATAGTAAAAATTCATCTACAAAGTTTTCCTCTAAATCGGATGAGTTTTCACCAAATTTTGCGCTTTTAGTTTAATCTCAGATTCTGACAAATTTTTGTGAACAAGAAAACCGAAATTATCGTACAAATCACTGTAAGCTTTACGCCTTTTAGTCATTTCTGAAATTAATACATACACTCATCTCTACCCCCCCCCCCAATTTAAACGACAGAAAAAATTTTTAAAAAAAATTTGATCATTTATCTTAAAAAATAATTTTTTTTTTTTTTCGTTTACATTTTTTTTATAATTTAGTATATAAATTACATCGTTAAAATCGTGATCATAACATTTTTACACAAGTTTAAAATCTGTTAACAAAACAATTGTATTGCTTTTAAAATTATACTATTTCTAAACACCGTATTTTTCTGAAGCATGAATCTTCTTTAAAATTTCAGGATTTTTTTCGAGTAATTGAGAAAATATGTCACATGAAAAATCAAAATTAATCAGTACAGATAAAACCGTTTTCACTGTATTCACATCCATTCGCGATTTTTCATTAGTCCAATAGTTATTTATGCGCGAAAATACCCGTTCTACAGGCGCATTGATGCTTGGCCAGCACATTGCAAGCTCAACAATTCTTTTGATATTTGTAAATGGTATATTGTTTTTTTGAAAATAATTGTTTATTTCGCGCCATTTGTCTGTTATGTGTACGGATTGGTACCATTTATCGTCTTTTGAATCCAAATAACCTTCAAGATAAGTAAACTCGTCAAATAAATCGTCGGAATTAACATTCAAAATTGCACATTTTGAAGAGAGAGACAGAACTGCCTCGTCGAATTCAGACCGTGAAGGCTTACAATCTAAAAGAAGGCACTTCAAATCAGACATATCATCGTTGTTATCGTTCCAAGCTTCTAAATATGAAATCGCAGCTTCATAGAATTCTTTCGACGTTTCTAAATAAGAATCTTCAGTAATGATATTCTCAGCAATCAATTTAGTCAATTCAGGTTTTACAACAAGTGGAACAAATTTGGCATTCTTTCGTGCTTTCAATTTAAATATCAAATCCTTGACAACCGCTCCAGATTCAATAACACATTTGTCATCGCTTTCAATTTTCAAGATGCTTTGATTAAAAATTGCAGCATGCGAATGCGCAAAAAACAACCATAACTCGGTTGTTTCACTCTCAAAATAATTCTTCAAGATTTTTGGGCACTTTTTTTCAGACAACATAAATTCTTTAAGAGATAAATAAATTTTAATAATTCTTTCTGCAGCAGGAAGTAATGTCAACCACCTAACATGAATGTGTCCTAAAATTTTATGATATTCTTGGTCAGCATACTCACAAAATTCTTTCAGTCTTTCAATTCGGACTGTGTAAATTTTAAAATAACTAAAAAGTTTAGATACCATAACTTCAATATCTACAGGCAAACAATCAA